CACACACACACACACACACACACACACACACACACACACACACACACCCCAGGCTAAAGAAACAAATGAAAACAAATATACAACAAAACCCAAACCTCAAAACTAACCAACCAACCAAAAATCAAAACCAAATAAAACAAATCCTATGGCCCAGGCTCTTGTAGTTAATCCATTATTCATTCCTCTTGCCCAGAAATACTTGAGTGTTAAATACTCCGATGGAGTAACTAATATAACAGATGCCTCCAAGTGTCTCCACTCCTACAGAGACTCACCATGACAGGTAAACAGGCAGGATTCTCAGCTCTTCTGAGGGTCTCTGTTGAAACTGCCCTCTATCCCTTTAGCTTGATTCAAATTGCATTAAAATACATACCCATTTCCCTCTCCTGCAGGCAGTCTGCAGCAGTGAGGTCTGTCTTCAGCATGCCCACAGAAGCCTCTTCAATCTTTGCAGCACTCATCTATGAGCTGAGAGGAAGAGCTGAGACTCAACTGAGTTCAGGGGGATTTCAAGCAAAACAGTGGAGAGGGGAGAAGGAGCCTGCTATACTGTCTGAGCTTTCTGATAAGCACTTTACAAGATCGGCCCAGATGGGTGAGTCATGTGTTCAGGTCACTCCTTCATGTGTCCATGTGACTCCTTCTCAGTCCTGAACACATCACTTGTCAGCACATAGTTTTCTGTCTGTTGGAGAAACAGAATCACAAGGTAAGAGATTGTGATATGAAGTTAAGTGGATTTTAAACACAATAACCATAACTGATAAATGCCTGAGAACTGAAAAACGTTCCTTCCTTATTATGACTGATTCTTTAGGAAGAATATTGCTTTGATGAAAGATGATGTTATTAATTGGAGGAACTGTTTGTTTTGAAACAGGGTCTCACTTGTAGCTCTGGCTAGCATCAGTCTCACTTTGTAGATCAGGATGGACTCAAATTCTTGGAGAACTTCGTGCCTCTGCTTGTAAGTGCCAGCATGAAAAATGCAAGCCACCACACTCAGCCTATATATTTTAATGTTGGAACATTTTTATTCACAGGATCTCTACATTTGGCCATTTTCACAATCGTCAGTAATTATGATGTTGGTTAGAAGAACCAGGGCACTGCTGATATACAGATGAAGGGAAACATACAGCTACAGAACCATTACCTGTCCAGGATGGGGCAAAAGCTCCATCCTCAGTGGGCACTCCACAAATAGTGCAGAAACAGATCCTTTTGAGCGATATTCTTGCACTATGGTTTACAGCATGTAAATTAGAAAGTTACAACATTTACGTCAGTAACATGATAGAGTTCACCAAAGAACTAAGTACATCAGATAAGAGAGGAATAAACATACAGTGCATGTTGTAAAGAGCAATGTCTGCAGTGTAGTGGAAAAGTATATAGTGTTATAGTTCCCTGATGGAGTGACAATGATAATAGAGAACAAAGTCCAGGTATCCACAATGTAATGATGTGGCATGTGCACTTTGCCCACCTAGATTGGACGAATTCCCTTATATTATTCTATTGCTCTTTTGTGACATTCATAGCTACCTGTGGCTATTTCAAGCCATGTGGATTCAGTTTGTCCTCTTTCATCTTGTCTCCTTGTTCTGTCTCCTCTCTCTCTCTCTCTGTCAGTGTCCTGTCTCTAAAACTCTCAGCCCACCTTCTCTTTCCACTGCCCAATCACAGGCTCTGGCCTTATTGTTCACTTGCCCTCACCTGCTTACAGACAGCAGTCTACAGGTTATCTCCTCCTATCTCAGTCTAATGGTTGATACAAGCTAGTAAAGGTTGAAATGTCAGATTATAATTACATAAGATATTTATAGAAAGGCAAACAAGATAAGAGACTATGGATTAAGGAATAAGATGGCAAATTTCTGAGTCAAGGGTGCTTGCCTCTGAGGCCTTTATATATATTACAATCTCTTTGCAACAATGTATTATGAAGGCTTACCTGATGTTACCTAGATGCTTTAGTACATGTTCCCTGTTATTACTGACTTCCTTCCCCAATCTTGACCATTGACAAACATTCAGCTTTCCTGGGCCCTGAGAAGAATGTCCTAATTTCAGCTGAGAAGCAGTTACAGAAGAGAGTATGTCATCTTTTATCATCAACAAAAGGCAAGACTGTCAGGTCCAAAGAAAACTACCATGGACAGCAAAGCGCAGGCTGCTTTGGAGCAGTCTGGAATACTGGTCCAAAGCAGAGGCTCAAGCTGATGGGCAACGTTGGAGACCTGAGGAAATCCCATCAGAAGCATGTTTGTGTAATTTTGCCAATTATTTCCTGAAAGAACCAGAAGAAACAGGGTGTAGTGGCATATTTTCCCTGCAAGTTGGGAGGAGCTAAGTTGAAAGGAGTAAGGAGAGGAAGAGGCAAAGGAAGAGGAGGAGCTATGTTGAAAGAGAGGATGAGAGAGAAGGGAAAATGGCAGTGGATGTCCAAGTGTTTCTAGCAGTCTAAGGTAGTTGTAATATCTAGGTTGGGTATTAGGTTACACCTTTAATTATGTGGGCATCTTGTTATTTGAGCATTACCAAATATATAAAGCTATTAGATAATCTTTAAACATGAGAGTCTCATTTCTACTAGGTGCTGTGTTGATGGTTGGATGTCTGGGCTCAGCCCAGCCTTGTGGAGACAGCATGGTAGATTGGCAGAGCCATCTTGCACGCTGTGTCTCATGGGTGGCAGGGCCAGTGTCTTTGGCCATCTGATTTGGCTGCCTGAGCCAGTGGCCTGAGCAGAGTTGTGGTGAAAATATGCCATCACTGTTGCTCATGGCCTCAGGTCTAGACTAGTGGGGAAGATGGTGGCTGATTAAGAACAAGCCCAGCTTGGGTGCTGCTGTTTTAAATATTACTGTTACAA